ATCAAATCTGACAGATCTGACTGCCCTAGTCAATGCACAAATACGTTCAAGAATAATGCCAACAGATAATTGTTTCTGACATCCTGTTTCACTTGAAAATACATCAGATTATCCATCTGAAATGGGTTTAACTGACTTTAAGTAGGCCTACATCTGGTGTGCTGCTGGACCTACTATTTTTCATACACGCATGCTTCTTTCCTTTCTATAAAATCATACACTCTGCAGCAGTAAGGACACAGTCTGAGAGAAAAAGGTGAAAGGAGAGAGAGCGCTCTATCTCTACTATCCTAAAGAGGTTGATAATGTGCTATAATCTATTCCTTCATCAAATCCCTCGGGTAGGAAAAAGAACGCCTCCACTTCACACTCAACACTTTGAAAACGGGACTTCTCTAAAGGTCACACCATATTTTTTCCCCACATTTCAATAATCAAAAAAATGCACGCACACACACACACACACATGCTGAATCATACTAATGCACCAGTGAGAAGGCTTGCGAGCACTTCATACACTCTGCAGCAGTAAGGACACAGTCTGAGAGAAAAAGGTGAAAGGAGAGAGAGCGCTCTATCTCTACTATCCTAAAGAGGTTGATAATGTGCTATAATCTATTCCTTCATCAAATCCCTCGGGTAGGAAAAAGAACGCCTCCACTTCACACTCAACACTTTGAAAACGGGACTTCTCTAAAGGTCACACCATATTTTTTCCCCACATTTCAATAATCAAAAAAATGCACGCACACACACACACATGCTGAATCATACTAATGCACCAGTGAGAAGGCTTGCGAGCACTCACACAACAAATATCATCTTATCAAACATTTTCCATGCCGTAGGCACTGGCAGGAAGAAGAAACACAGACATCCCTATTTAAAGGTGACATATCATGAAAATCTGACTTTTCCAGGTTATAAGTGCTATAATCAGGTCCCCGGTGCATCTACCAACCAAGGAAACGTGAAAAAGATTAACCCAGTAACTTTGTTTTGGGAAGCCTTTTTCTGCAAGCGTCTGAGAAAACGAGCGCGTCTGATTTCGCTCACTTGGTGACGTGGCAAAGGGATCTCATTATAATATTACCGCCCCTTAATCTGTAAGTTTCCACCCACGGCGCTGTCATTTTGATTTCGCAAGCGACAACGGCGTACTAGTTCTAATGCCACGGCAAAAGTTTGTGAGCAAAATATGCTAACTGTTCTGTCTTTGGCTGCACAGACGAGCACAGAACACTGTTTAGAGTCCCAGCCTCAAAGGAGACGAGAGCAGTGGATTTATTGATTTATTTAATGTATATATCTGCTGCCACACAGATCTACAATAAACATGCAATTTATTTCCCAGCAGTTTACCTTCACAGACATAACCGACTGTTTTTGTAACTCGTGTGTGTTTTTAATGTAAATGTGTGTGAATGAGAACTTAGT